TGGCACTTAGGTCACTGGAGAGTTAACGTGGAACCAAGCAGTCGAAACACTTCTTTGACTTATAATCAGTCTCATGGCTGACGATAACATACAAATCTCTTAACCACTGGTCACTGCCTACAACTGTCATTTGACAGAGAAAAATCATACATGTGTTTCCAGTGTGGACACTATTAAAATATTGATACAAAAATGCCATAACCTGCTAAAATATTTTAAAGATAACAGAAGATTGAATACATGCAATGCTGAACATTTATTTGCATTCTGACACCATCCCAAGTTAATGTGTTGTGTCAACATCCATAAGGAAAAGAAGAATATGTGGAAAATAAATTGTTAGCCAAACAATTCTTCTACATACCCTTGGCAATTCAAAGTCTGAAAATCATTAATAAATCATGAAATTAAGTATACATTCTGATCTTCAACAAAAATTCTCTTCCGTCATTAAGCTTAATACTATGGTGTTCCAGAATTTACTTATGCTGGTAATGGTTATGGCATAACGCTCTGATGCAGTTTCTATTAGTTAATTCTAATAAATGTAGTCCTAGGAGACACCTAGGAATTATATCACTTAGAGTAGAGCATTTATGTGAGTGCAGAAGCTAATTTCATCTTAAATTTTAAAAAATACCTGTTCAAGTATAGTCTCTACGTGAACATTTGGCTTTCTTATTTCTTCCCTCTTTTGGTAATCTCCAGTGTTAGTGGAAGGCAGAAATAACCTAATGGGGGTCATAATATCATGCTGTGACTCCCATGATACTTCTCCTATGTCTGGCGAGAATTCCCAATTCAATCACATGTGCATTACCTGCCCCAGTTAGAGTACACGGGAGGGGACGGAGCACGCAGCTACCATCTGCTGCCCTCCCCCGGCATCCCTGGAAAGGCAGACAAGGGTGAGAGTTTCTCCTAAAGACAGGAGCAAAGTGTACTTCACACAATGAGCCCACCGAAGTGTCTTCAGGCAGCAGCGTGTGGAACTGGCATATGAGAAAGCTATCCAGACAGCCCGCGATAGCAGCGTCGGATGCACTGTCAGGGCTCTAGGTTTTCAGTCTAGCCCGGCCGGTGCAGACAAGCAAGGCCTGTAGATGGCTGTGTGCAACCCCCTGTCCTGAGACAGATGCAGGCTTCTCCAGTGTTCTACAGGTCTCAACACTCCTTATGTCTCGCTTGGCCTATTACATTTATTTATTTTCCTGCCTGGTCCCTTTAGGCAATGGAGTTTGCAGCCTGGTCTGTACTCATCAAACAAACAAGGTACTCACAGTTGCATGACCAAGTACAAGTGATTTGGGCTTTCATAGATGTCTTCCAGGGCAACGATGTTTTCATGCTTAATCCTAAAAGGAAAAAAAAAAAAAAGCACATTACAATGGTAAGTACAATTAGACATGAAAACTTTTAAAAACAGACATCTCTATAGCAAAAAGTTACAAGCCAGAATCCAAATTCCTTAACAAAACATTTAAGACTCTTCACAATCATGTCCCCAAACTTTTTCCAGATCCGTTTCCGTATTCCCTCTTGTTACCGTCCTAATATTATCTTGCAAGGCCCAACTCAAATGACTGAGCTCCGGGGCAGGATTTAAATGCTCCCTCTTCTGCCATCTCACGACGGCCATCACAGACTGGCCTGACAGTCAAGTGTACACACATCCATCTCCCGTAACAGGATGTACGTTCCAGGAAACAGACTCACTGTCATGTTCATGAGTACAGTGTAAGCAAAAAAACCCAGCCTGTCTCCCTCATTGGGGTTCACGTCTCCACCACCACCAAATGTCAAACAAGTGTCCTAAGCAAACTTGATCAGTGCTACTCAAAGTATGGTTCTCAACCAGGTAGCGGGGTAGAAATGCAGGTTCTCAGGCCCCACCACTATCATGCAGTGTCACAGGCTCTCAGGATGAGGCACAGGTGTCTGCATCTTAACAGGATCCTCAGATGATCCTCATGCAAATGGATCACCCGGGGGTCTGGCTAAAGGCAGGCTCTGATTCAGGGGTTGGGGTGGGGCCTGAGAGTTTGCGTTCCTAACCAGCTCCCAGGAGATGCTGATGCTTCCAGTCTGCGGACCACATTCTGAACAGCAGTGCCCTAAAATAAAGATCCAAGGGAGAAGAAAACAGCCAGATTCTACCCCCTAGAACTATCCATCAGGAGCAGCTTCTGCTCAGAATGAAAGGTTTGATATTGTTGAAAGCATTTAAAAGAAGAATCATTTTCATTATTCGATAAGCTAATTATCTCTTAGCACAAGCCCGACACTGAAATGACTTCAGAACCCTTTAAAAACAAGCATGTAACATGCAGACTGTTGAACCCCTTCAAAGCAAGGATTACACTATTCACTTTGTTTCCCCTCTGCCTGGCATAGATCTGCTTAATAAATAGTTGCTGACTGAATGGATGACGTTTAAAGATTGTTGTCACTCAACAGCAAAAAACGACATTATTTACGTAACCTAAACATCTGTACCCCCATAATATGCTGGAAAAAAAAAAAAACGACATTATTTAGTTAGGCAAAAGGGAGGCAATTTTCCTAAGTGTATGATGTCCTCCCACAAAAAGAAGTTCATAAGGTGGAATGAACAGTAACAAAAACTTCCCATAGAGCTGAAAGAAGAGAACAAGGTAATGAACTAAGAGGAACAGCGATCTCCTTTGATTTCTACGGCTCTTGTTACTTAATGCAGTTGTTTTGTAGGAGCTGCAACAACAGATTATGCTACATTCCCATTTCGCCGGATGCAAATGCGTAAAACCTAGTTATTTATTTGTCAGCAGTGGTTGCCGCACAACCTGAGCCCAATAATATAAGCACTATATTATACGGACCAAATAAATTATACCACTAAGGAAACCCAGAGAGCTTAATTGAGGACTGTCAAGATCCTACACATTAGTGGCATTTCATTATTAGATATGCCTGAATATGACCACCAAAAGTATACAATCATGTAAATCTTCACTCTTTGGAAATTTTCAAAAATTTGCCATTGGAATCAATGAACACAAATATTTCCTTCCAGTCAATTTGGGAGTTAATAAACAGCTTAGACTGATGGGGAAATGGCAGGAATGGGATTATGGGATTATGCCAGATAAAATGCAGGGCACACAGTTACATCTGAATTGTAGATACATAATGGATACTTTTGTAGTATAAGTATGTCCCAAAGACTGCATTGGTTATTTATCTGAAATTCAAATGTAACTGAGCACCCTGTAATTTCATGTGCTAAATCTGATCACCCTGGTTACATGAATCACTCAATCAGCCTTTAAACTGGGTTTAGAGTTTGGCACCTGCAGTCCTACCTCCCCTTGGAGCTTGAACTAAGAAGGCTGCTTAGAGCCCTAGAGTTCAGTCATTGATACAGATTCAACTATGTACAAAGAATCGACTATGAACAAAGCACTTGCCTAGCCAAAATGTCAGACTCTAATAAATGAAGACCACAATTCCCTCCTTGGATGCATGGGATCGAGAAAGTAAAGCCTATTTTAAGTAGTCACTAATTTGAATCCATGAGAGCATTCCAGAGAGGTGCTGCAGATAGCGGAGCAACCCCAAATAGCAGCGGAACAGTGGCTGGAAAGATACTTCCACAAACCATCCTCTTCACATATCAAGGAATCAAGGGATTAAGCAATTGTCATTTACCGAGTTTCTGCTATGTGTCTGGAAGAAGGCAAGACAAATACAAAATAAGGTTTTGCCCTCAAAAAGCGTATCATCTAAACAGAGACCCATGAAGCAACTAGAAAAGAATTAAACGCTAAACTCTGTAGATTTGCCTTTAAGGTCAGAGAGAGCAGGGCCCTGTGTGGGGCAGAATTATGGGGAAGGAGTCAAGAAAATGATGGGGGTTGAGCCGGCACGGGTAACGTTTGAATAAGCATACTTGAGAAATTTCGAATAAATCCTAAAATGGCCTCTTAAATGTCTCTTAAGAAAAGTGGTTTAATTAGCTTGGAGCTGCTCGAACATGGAAAAAGAAAACACGCTGGCCTCCCGCATCTGTTCTCAGGTACTTTTTTCCACCCTCGGACTCCTTATCATATACAAAAACTGAACTTAGAGCTTTAAAGCTTTTTTAGTACTTACGTTATTTTCACAAAATGTTACAATGTGCATAATCCATACATTTAGGACTAAAGAGCAATCGCTAGCTGAGGATCTATCCCATGCAAATGCTTCCCACATGCCGCCTCCCCTCTTTTCATTATTCATTCAACAAACATCTGCTGGGTGCCCACCATGTACCAGGCTCAGTCCTAGGTACTATGAATTCAGTGAAGGACAAGACACAAGAGACAGTCTAGGGCTTCCTGGAGCTCACAAAGGCAGCAGCTAGAACACTTCTTAGGCAGTCTGTCTCCTATTTACTAGAAAATCAACCTCCTAGTAACTAGCAGTGACTCCTGAGAGTAACAGAGAGCTAGTGTATGCCCTCTTCCCCCTCATCCTGCAAGTGTTTGAGGGATATAATGTCACTGCTTAGTCTTCTCTTCTTCTTGTTGACCAATCTTCCTACAACATGATTTACATTTTTCTCATCACTCTTGTTTGTCCAGACTACAATATTCAGAACTGGAAGTAATAATCCCAGTGTAAACTACAGTCTCAATAATAGGGTATCGCCGAGTGCAGGGGTTCAGGCCTCTAATCCCAGCACTTTGGGAGGCTGAGGAGGGAGGAGCACTTGAGGCCAGGAGTTTGAGATCAGCCTCGGCAACACAGTGACACCCCATCTCTACAAAAAAATAAGAAAAATAAGCCAAGTGTGGTGGCACACACCTGTCATCTCAGCTACTGTGGAGGCTGAGGCAGGAGGATTGCTTGAGCCTAGGACTTTCAGGCTGCAGTGAGCTATGATCCTACCACTGTACTCCAGCCAGGGAGACAGAGCAAGACCCCGTCTTAAAGAAAAAAAATAGAATATTAAATAATAAGGTAGAACTACTAACCACCATGAGCTGCATATTACAGTTCTACAAATAAAGCCTAACACTGGGCTCTCTTTTTTTTTTGTTTTTAGCAGCTGCAAAAACGCTGGCACATAAGGAATATAAGCTCCATGTAGGTAGGAATTTTTGACTGTTTTGTTCACTACTGTCTCCCTAATGCCAAGCAAGTGCGTGGCAGGTAATACATTTGATACATATTTATCGAATAAACGAATGAATGAAAATGAAGCTTAGGTTCAAATAAAAAGCAGATCGTTTTTATTTGAATGCTACCAAACATAATCTCCTTTCTTACTCAGACTTGATATTTTGAGCTTAAAAGTCAAGTCTTCACGTTTAGCTTTGTTAAACTCAGTCTTTTTGGATTGCATGCAGTGTTTCAGATGACCAGCAGTATTCAGAATCTTAATTTGTTCATCTATAGTATTTATTATCCCTCCCAACTTTGGGCCATGTGCACATTTGGTAAACATTCATCCTACATGTCTTCATCCAAATTCCTAACTAGGATTTTAAATGGGAAGGTCCTATGTCAGATCTCCATGGCATTCCACCAGAGACCCCCCATCAAGGTAACCATGACATTAATCAGCTGGCTTCAATTACTGTCTAGTGTCAAACCCAAGAGTACTATCTTCTAGCCCATATGTTACCATCCTATCCATACATAAGGAGACAATTAGATGTCATGCCGAAACGGAATTCCTCAGCTCTACACATCACATAATACTATTTAAAAGGGAAATGGGATGTTTGAGATTTGTTCTTAGTAAACCCATGTTAGCTCCTAGCAACCACTACAGTCTTTACTAAATGATCACAAACCATCTGCCTAATTTTCTGTTCCAGAATTTTACTGTGCCGTGAAGTCATGCTTTCCAGTCTATAGATCTCATAGTCTACCTTTTTTATATTAGGAAAATTTGACAGCATCCCTTACATTGTTTTCTTAAGCATTTCAACTGCGACTCTTTTGTGATAAAGGTAATTTCCTCATTCCCCTGGGATGTAACAAATCTAAACCTAGTGATGAGCTAATTTTATGACTTTCTTTAGGACTTACTTACATAGTTGTTTTATAGGCACCATTTATTGAGTGTTAACTATGTGTCAAGACTGTACTAAGTACTTTTAATTATTTCATCTACTATTAACAACAACCCTACAAAGTATTATTTTCTTCATTTTTAAAAGAGGGAGGAAAAAAAGGGAGGAGACTATGATCCCAAGAGTTTAAGTAAGTGTTCCAAGGTCACATAACTCAGAATTGTCATTGCTGAGACTCAATCTGAGCCCATTCTGACTCCTAAGCCCATGTGAAAGCAATTACATGATAACTTTATTTTAACTAAGTTATAATG